GTCCAGACCGTAATTATTGCGCAATATTTCGGGCCGTAATAACTTACGTAAAATTATGTTAATATATTTCGCTGATGTACAAGACAATTGTAAGTTTTTATATATAAAAGAAAAATGTGGCAAATGATTTAAAAACTTAATAGAGATAATCTTACTAGACTAGACTTATTTCGAAGTTGAGGATTTTAATTTTTTCTTGACTATCTCAACTAATAATTTTATAATACTTCCTACTTATAGATTTATTTTTAAACATTGAATACATATTTATTTTTATATTATTACTGAATTGCAAATTCTATATAAAGGTACTTTAGCTAGAATGATATTACTTCTGCATATTAAGAATTTGGTTTAATAACATGTCTAGATTTTTAATAAATTCAGTAATAACACTTGCATTCCCCTCCTTTTCAGCTATATTATATTTGTCATGAATTTTTTCTATAATTTCGCCAATTTGCAATCTACGTATTTTTATCTCTTTTTTTTCTAAAGTCTGAACAGGTATTGAAACTTTAATTGCTTTGTTATCTTCATATATCACCATACCTGCTTTTACAAATATTTCATAAAACTCTTTCCAAATATTGATTGTTAATAACTTATTATCTAAAAAATTCTGATGAAGCATATGTTTACAAGAAACTAAATAATGACGGAAGAATTGACATTTACATTTTGGTGTTATAAGATTTGGTAGTGGTTTTTCTTTTTCAATTCTTGCATTCATAGCAGAAATCTCACTAGCCATTAATTTTTGAATCGGATACGAAAATTTGTAAACTTGTTCAAGGATTTTATTATCAAAATTAAAGATTGAAATATGCTTTTGAAAAAAATTCAATGCAGTTTTTTCTGAATCAAGCCTTTTCTTGTTATCTAACTCAATAATTTTTTTGCAAGAGTTTAAAATTTTATTTATTCAGTATTAATTATTATTCATATTGTATAAATATAAGTAATATTAAAAAACTACTTACTGGTAAATTCATGTTGTTTCGAAATCATTCTTTTAAGCTCACTATGATAAGACTCCAAGGGATTTGTAGAAGTGACTTGTAGCAATAAAGATGAATGCTGACGGGCCCATTTTTCTGTATTTTTAGTATAATATCAATTAATATAATGAGAAATGTCAGAAATTGGACATGCATTTAATGCATTACTAATAACTTCTTCACAACTAGCTTTAGTTGTTTTATTCATTGCAAGAATCATTTGATTGCGAGTTGATACATGGTAAATTTTTTGTATCCATGTATGCATTATATGAACTGTATAAAAAATTATATTGCAATTTTGTTCGTTATAAGCAGCCCCTGGAAATACTTTATATATACTATTCATTTCAACAATACTTTGATCACAAAGCATATAATTTGGATGCCATTCAGGTGCAAGTTCACAAATTTTTTTTTAGTGCACAGGTTAGTGTACTAACATCTTCAATATTTACAAACATATGTGCACCAATATCCCAAGATCCATGACTATCACAATAGTATAAAGTAAAAAACTGCTATTAATATTTATTGGTATCATGTGTAGCATCCATAAGAGTAAGCCATCCAAATTTTTGTAATCTTTCAATTTGTCTTTGATTAGCAAAACAAAAGCCACGGGACTGGCTATCATAAAAATATTTTACTTGATAATTTTTTGTAGCCAAAAAACCAAGTGCATGCTGAAGTTCATTTTCAAAATCATTACTATTAGAAAAGCTTGTGTCTTGTGATTCTTGCTGTTTTTGCTGGATATTAGCAACTTCTTTTCGAGTTAAATGCTTTGCAATTGTACCAAGATTATTCTTTTGAGCAAGATCCTTAAAAATTAAAACTAAAAATTAGTTTAATTGTTATATAACTAAGATTTAATTTATAATTTTAATTACTTAAAAATATTTTATTTAATTTAATATTTACTTTAACAGTTGTAACAATACTTGGTGGCGCATAAAGTTTACTTGCTTCCTGAGTTGCTATTTGTCGAATTACTTCAGGTGTCTTTATCATATCACTATCTTCAATTGAATGACTATGATTAGGTGTATCATTATAACGTTCAACTTGAACAGTTTGAGTTTCAATTTTATGTGTAATCTTAATTTTAGCTTCACATAGACCTTCAATATGCTGACTAGTATTTCTTCGCTTATTAGCAGGTACATCTTCTTTTCTTGTACTTGATTTGTTATGTTTTAAAAAACGGCAAGCATAAACAGTCCAAGAATCTCTATTAGCATGCTTATAACTATTGAATCGTGTCCAAATATTTGAAACTAAAGGCCAACTTTCTTCAAATTCATTTGCTGAAATTTCAAATGTATTGCCTACATTAAAA